ACCCATACCTTTCACCATACACTAAAGTCAACTCAAAAAGGATTAAAGAATTAAATATACAACCTGGAACAATAAAACTTCTGAAAGAAAATATAGGAGAGACACTTCAGGAAATAGGTTTGGACACAGACTTCATGAATAAGACCCCAAAAGCACAGGCAACCAAAGAAAAAATAAATGAATGGGATTATATCAAACTAAAGAGCTTATGCACAGCAAAAGAAACAATTAACAGAGTTAAAAGACAACCAACTGAGTGGGAGAAAATATTTGCAAAATATACATCTGACAAAGGATTCATATCCAGAATATACAAGGAAGTCAAACAACTTTACAAGAAAAAAACAAGCAACCCAATAAAAAAATGGGCAAAAGAGCTGAGTAGGCATTTCTCTAAGGAAGATATATAAATGGCCAACAGACATATGAAAAAATGCTCCACATCAGTCAGCATTCAACAAATGGGAATCAAAACCACACTGAGATACATCTCACTCCAGTTAGGGTGGCTAATATCCAAAAGACTAAGAATGATAAATGCTGGTGAGGTTGTGGAGAAAAAGGAACTCTCATTCATTGTTGGTGGGACTTCAAAATGGTGCAGCCTCTATGAAAAATGGTATGGAGGTTCCTCAAAAATTGCAGATAGATCTACCATATGACCCAGCTATTCCACTGCTGGGAACATACCCAGAGGAATGGAAATCATAATGTCGAAAGGATACCTGTACTTCCCATGTTTACTGCAGCACTCTTTACAATAGCCAAGAGTTGGAACCAGCCCAAATGTCCATCATCGGATGAGTGGATATGGAAATTGTGGTATATCTACACAATGGAATACTACTCAGCTATAAAAACGAATGAAATACTGCCATTTGCAACAACATGGATGGACCTTGAGAGAATTATATTAAGTGAAACAAGTCAGGCCCAGAGAAATACCACATGTTCTCACTTATTGGTGGGAAGTAAAAATAAATAAATAAATTCACACACACACACACACACACACACACACACACACACAAACTGGGGGCGGGGGCAAGAAGACTTAACAACTACAATTCCTTGAATTTGATATGACAAGCAAACAGAAAGGACATTGTTGGGTGGGAGGAGGGAGAGGGAGGAAATAAATAAATAAATTCACACACACACACACACACACACACACACACACACACAAACTGGGGGCGGGGGCAAGAAGACTTAACAACTACAATTCCTTGAATTTGATATGACAAGCAAACAGAAAGGACATTGTTGGGTGGGAGGAGGGAGAGGGAGGAAGGAGGGTGGTTTCGGTAATGGGCCACAATAATCAACCTCATTGTATATCGACAAAATAAAATTAAGAGAAAAAAAAAAAAAACAGCAGAGAATGATGAAAACCTTTGAGCACAAATTGTTGACACCATCCCTCAAGTCAAGTGCAACTAGTGCCATTTTCAATTCTTTAGGCTCTGCACAAGGCACTCCTTCAGAAATAAGCTTCTCAAATGGTGAGGAAAAAAAGCTATGCTGTCTTCATTTATATTCCAGAGATGTGGAATTAATATGAGACCATGTTCTAGATCTTGGATAACACTTCCTCCTCAAAACTAAATGCATTTGTGCATGTATGTACCAGGGCTGATTCTTGGCTGAGAAGTGTATATAGAAGCACCTAGTGAACTTGGTATGTACAAATCTGATGGGTTATTAGACTAATGGAGGAGAGAAGAGACTAGAGGTTAAAAAAATATATGGGTAATTAAAAACAATTGTCACAAACTGTCGAAACCAGAAGGAACCTTAGACATTGTCTAGTGCAATCCCCTCATTTTACAGATGAGGAATCATAATTAAGTAAAAAGAAAATGCCTTATGGACAGTCACTCAGTTCATCAGAAGCAGAACTGGGACAGAACTCAGGTCTTCTGGCTCTCAGGGCTAGTGCACCCTTCCAAGAATACTCTCTGAGCTACACATTACTCTCCGATGCTCATTTTCTTCCTAAGGAAGTCATATTTCTAGGTAGAAACAGATGCTTAGGTGGGGATGCAGTGTTGGGAGGGAGAGTGTAGGGAAAAGATTGGTCTAAGGCTTAAAGTTAGAGAAAGGAAGAGTGAGCAGAACTGAAGAACTTCGAGTTGATATTGTGATGACTGCACTCTCTGCTTCCAGTCGGACAATGGTGCAGTGGTCTTTGGCTGCCTTTCTTAAACACCAAGGTAGACTCTAGTTCACATATATATAGACTTTTGGTGGCTTGGCTGTAGTCATTCTCCCACCCTCTCGTGCTGGAGGTAGGACTGACTCATCCATTTATATTTTTCATTATGTTGGCTCCAAAACCTAATTCTGTTCCAAAGGCTGAAGCCAATCTAGAAGCAGCATGATGGGTTGGAATGGTTTAGCTCAAGTCCCAGCTCTGTCACTAATTCTGTGAGTGTGGGCACATCACTAATCTGCTTGGAGCTACATTCTCTTTACCTTCAATATAAGGGGGCTAGAATGGATAATCTCCAGAGTACCTACCAGCTTCAGGACTGTGTGTGAAGCAACATTATTTTCCACTTTGTGCTGTTTGACTAGTTAGTGTATGGAGTCTCAGTCTCCATCTTTGTATGGAAAACTTAGTGGTGTACGTGAAAAAACAAACAAACAAAAAACCTTTTCCTTGGCCACAAGCATTCATCAGACTTTGGGCAACTAACTTGTGAATACGTTCTGGTGTGCTGGTGAATATATTCTGGAGGCACTGGTAGCCATAGCATATAGGAGGCATGGGCTGTGGAAGCTCCTTAGTAGAAAATAGTTGGAGAGCTGACCCTGTGGCTCACTCGGGAGAGTGCGACGCTGGGAGCACAGCTGCGCTCCCGCCGCGGGTTCGGATCCTATATAAGGATGGCCGGTGTGCTCACTGGCTGAGCGCGGTGTGGGCGACACCAAGCCAAGGGTTGCGATCCCCTTACGGGTCACAAAAAAAAAAAAAAAAAAAAGAAAGAAAGAAAGAAAGAAAAAGAAAATACTTGGAGCTGATTGGGAAATATCATTTTTGCAAAAGGGTCAGTTCATATTGGCTTGCCTGCTGTCCCTAGGGGATATTGTTTCATTAGCAAATATACAGCCCAAATGTGTACATATTTTTTCTTTGGAAGAGCAGTAGCAGTACCATGTCTGGATTTTAATGTTATTGTATCGAGCAATAGACCTGGAGTGCCAAGGGGCCTGGGGCTGACATCAAGGAGCTCATCAGGTATGACAGTACCTCAGACAGAGGGGCAGGTAGAGCAGCCACAGGTTCTAAAACTGAAATATGAATGCTACCATCAAACTTGTGGAAACCAAAAGCTCAATTCTATTAGCACAGAATGAAAAATTATGCCTTCTATACCACCAAGCACTCTCAAGCTTGAGAAATAGCCAACACTTCAGTGCAAGAATATCAAATCCATTGGGGATACAGATGTATGTGTTTCCATTTTATGTTGTCTCTTCCTGAAGGCCTCCAAGGTTTGTCCATGAATATCCTCCCCTAGGTTAAGGTTAAAGTCACTAATACTGACTGCTATTCATAATGCAGGAAGAACGTGCACACTTGTTGCCTGAACAGCCCCGTCAGGATGACTTACTTCACCCAAGATTTATATTAAACTATTCAAAGAAAGCACCACACCTTCATTTCCTTTCTAATTCCTCTATCCATTCCTTCATTTAATAAAATTATCTTATGCTTCCACTATGTGCAGTCCCTGATGGCACAACTAAAAATGTTCTTTTTTTCTTTAATTCAGATGACTTTTATGAAGATCCCTACTGTTTCTCTCCCTTGAGTTGTGAAGCTGTGCCTAACTGTGTAAGAAGAATATTACCCGTGGAAATCAAAATGAACTTCATTCACAAACAAAGATGTTTTCAATAACTTTCAGAAGAGAAACTCACCTCCCCCAGCCCCCAGATTGGGGAGAATGTTGAATTTGTGAAGCAATTTGCTCCAACTTGTATTCTAAATATTATTTTGGAAGGGGCAGAATGAGATAACAGTTAGTGAATGTTAAAGTCAGAATAATTCTCTTTATTGTTATAGTTGCTTATTTGGGATATAGTTTGAGCCTATAATTATGATATATTAGGAGAGAAATGTCTACAGCATTGGAGATTTTGCTTCAAAAACTTTAAGTGTCCACATCCTAAAGGAAAAAAGGTCAAGATCAGGGTCCTTACTGCCCTGGCCTGGGAGCCAAACAATTTCAGGTGGCCAAAGTTTCAGGATACCTGGTTGGCCTGACTCCCACAGGGGACGTCAACAGGAAGAGACACGAGGTCGCACATTATGGAAAAAAACTCTGCCCTGTTGGCCTGTCATGACAAAGCACCTGAAATCCCAATTATTCAAGTCACACTTTTGATTGAAGCCCCTTATTAAAATGTAAACATGTTTTGTAAAAAGGTTGGCTCATCAATCCACAGACACCCATAAATGCCTTAGTGGGGATTCATTTCTCAGCCAAGACAGCCCCCTGGGGTGCAGCAAGCAGGGTCCCAAGGAATGTAAGAGAATAAGAACAATCTGAAACTGATAGTTCTCCCTAGGAAGGAAAGGACAGGTTAGGGTGAGCAGGACAGTAGAGGAATGGAGGCGAGAAAGGTCACCCAAAGGCAACAGAGTGAGCAATGAAGATGAATTTTACCAGCTTTGTGTTCTGTGGCTAAGTATGATTGGAGGCCTTCTTAATCCCTTCCCAAATACTGCCACTGAGGCTCCCCAGCCAAAAGTGCTGCTTGCATTTGGCCTTAGGTAGAAATGAGCAGAAAGATGAACATTCTGGAAGGATACACAAACAACTGGTATCAGTGGATGCCTTCAGGAAGGGCAACTAGGTATCTGGGGGCAAGGGAAAAGGGGAGATTTACTTTTCACCCTATCCCTCTTTGTATCTTTTGAATCTTATACTGAGAGAATATATTATTTCTTAGAGTGATGAATAAATACATACATACATAAATAAAGATAATCAGACCCTTCCAATGAGAAAAAAGATAAACCCCTGGGTTCCAATACCATAAATCAAGTTCCCCATTACCCTAGTGAAGATGTGTGGTGCAGTGGGCTGTGGAGACAGAAGAGCTGGATTCAAATCTCAGCTCTGTCATTTCCCAGACGTGTGACCTTGAGAAGTAATAATAATTGTACATTTATCATAGAATTGAAGTGAGGTTTAAATGAGATGAGCCCTGAAAATTTTCTAGCACAGTAAAACACAGTACATCTTAGCTCCTTTCTCTTTCGAACTCCCACCCACTTACCACCCACCCCCTCACGGTCCCACTCACCATGTCTACCCCATTAAAGGTACCACACTGGATCCTTTAAGCAAAATTTAATGCTGACTACTAAACAGACTAGAAGACTAGTACCAGTCACTGGTATAAAGCTCTCAGTTCCCCCTGCCCTCCCTATCATTCCATGTAACATAAAAAATGTATGTAGGCCCTTAGGCCCGTGGGTATCTGCCTTTGGAGTCAATCCTCTTGCCTGTGAAATTCTGTTCTAAGGACATCTCACATCTATTGTCCTCCATATGGCTTCATGTGTACTTTTTTTTGTAGGGGAAGGTGAGTGAGCGAGTGTGTGTGTGTGTGTGCACGTGTGCATGTGTGTGTGAAGGGACTAACATGGATGATGACCAAAGTGTCCTGAACATTACATGTCATTGAACTGACAACACTAGGTCACTTTCATTCAAAAGTAAGTTTAAGGATAAGACTTGGTTGTAATTATCAAATGTACAAATATATGCATTCTGCAAATGGTTTGATTTGGAGGATCATTTCGGCTGTTAAAATACCCACGATTGTATTTATTTTCAATGAGTAATAGGGCCCTGATTGTTCTCCTGCTGCTGGAGTGATGAATGTACAGCCTGTCTCTAATGACCTGACATGCTGTCAAGAACGGAAACATTATTTTATAGAAAAGTTCATGATTCCTGTCATGACTCCTCCTGCTAATTAGTAAAACACGGGTTTTCTGCAAATTAGATGACAGTTTGGAATTGTAGGGAAAGCACTGATTAAACATCTTTTGGGCATCCTTTGGTTTGCTCTTCCTGGGCCTACAAAATGGCTGACACTTATGTGAAACAGACCCAAGTAATTATGGAAAAGAGACGCTAGAACATTTGTACTGCTTTTAATCAAGAATCAACCTCAAAGTATTCACTGAATCCTGACATGGAGGAAAAGATCCAGACACATCATACTTAAGCCACTACCTCCAGCAGCCTACTCTTTACCTGGGGAGACCAAATGCATGCACTGGAATAGTGACTGATTAAAACAAAAGTACGGTGGAAGAGAAATGCTTCATGGGCAGGAAATGATGCAGGATCTAGTCAGGCTGGGAGTGAGGTGTTCTAAGTAGAGCCAGCAGGGGTGGGGGCAGACTGCTTGGATAAGGCAGGACTCCATTGCTCAATATCACAGGCAAATCCTCTTTATCAAGCACTGGCCAACAAGTTTACAAAGCCCCTTGAAGCTTCAGGGCAGGGCTGTGGCATTTCATTCTCTGTTGTGCTTGGGTACCCTGTGGGCAAGCTGGCAAACATTGAATGGTATTAAACACTTCAAGGCAAGTCTGAAGAAGCTCCTGCCCAGGGCCCTAATTCTTACTGTTTTGTCAGAAGTCCCAAAGGTGACAGAAACCATCTGTGATGGCCCATCTCCCTTGCACCCAGGGATATGGGAAGGTTAGGGGGTAGAAGGACAGGAGGAGGTAAGGCTTTTATCTTCAGTAGCTCAGGCCTGTGGTTAATTGGTGTGTTTCTGGTCCTAACCTTCAAGCACTTAGGGGACACAAGGAGTTTGGAGCAATGGAGCAAAGACCTATTGTACCTCTGTGGATTAGGCAAAACAAGTGAAATGGATTGAACTCATAGTTTCTGGCACTTCATATACACTCCATAAATATTTGTTGCACACATGAGTGAATGAAGGGTCTAAAATACTTGAGTATATGAAAGCGATGGCTGACTTTTCCTAGTCTAGGGCTTCTCTTAGTGCTGAGTAAACCTACCTTCTCCATTAATATGCAAGTTTCATGAGGACAAAAACCTTGTCTGTCTTGTTTACCACTGTACTCTCAGTGCCTAGTACAATGCTTCAGTCAAGATTCTTAGGTTGCCAGAACAGAAACCAAGTATCTTTGAACTGATGATATTGTCAGTTCCAGTTGCCAATGTAAAGGGAACTTGTTGAAAGGGTTTTAGGAACTCAAATAATTTATGGGAAGGTTAAAAAATAGGGCTTGAAAAAGGACAGAAGTCTACAAAGCAAGAACCATGTGGATAGTCTCCCAGCAGAGAACCTTGTAAGGGCACCAGTACTGGGAAGAACAAACAGCAATTTGTTTTATTCTCATGTTACAAGCTTTAGACTCAAAGTCCAGTGAGACTGCTTCTGATTGGCCCTTTGGTTTTAATAGTGGCAGAAGAAAGTCTTGGATTTACCATCCCACTGAGAATATCCACACTGGGAGAGAAGTCATTCTACAAAAAGACATTAGGGTGTTGTCAGGAATAAATGAGTAGATGTGAATAAAAAAATCACACATGTGTCCACTACACACAATATAGGACTGAATACATTTTGGTTGAATGAATGGCTAGTTCAGTAACCTACTTCTTCAGTAAGGATGCAATAGTGCTTAGAAAAGTAGGTTTCTCCCTCCAGCCCCACCCCCCAGGCCTCATTCAGGTATTCACTTGTTTTATTTAAGGCTAAAGTGAATCACGATGTGTTGAGACAGCTGAAGTGTTCAAGATAAGCATCCTAAAGTGATAGAGAAGAGTGCTGCTAGAAAAGGTGATCTTGAGAGATTTGGCATACACGGGTTGGGCTCACTTTAAGGAAAACAAATATATGAAAATGAGCTTGTTTGTTGCTGCCTTGCTGCATCTCTCCAGATGAGCTCACAACCGATTACATTTTTTGAAGCCACTTCACCATACAGTTTTCTAGGAGTTCCCTCAAATATCTGAAAATATATTTTGACCCCAACTTCTAGGACCTTTCAGCCCTAATTACAAAGGGCTCAGTTGCCTGAGAAGGAAAGCTAGGAGGAATGCTACTTACATTCTTCATCTTCTCGTGCTAAAGGCATGATAGTCACAAGTGACATTGCTCGCAAAGGGGGAGGCAGATGGTATTCAGGAGCCTGCATTGGAGGACTCTGGCGTGGGTATAAAAAAAGACCCGAAAGAAATCAATAATAAGTGGTAACTTCAAATAGTGGGAAAAAAAGTCATCTCATCTAAATGCACAAGAAAAGTACAGATGTTTCCTTAACATATGCAGTCCTATGCAAATGATTATGTAAATTAAACAAAAAGTTGGGACTGGCAAATTCCCAAGTTTCCAAGATTTACTTATGTTAACCTAGTACTCATCATAGAAACAAGGTTGAAGCTTTTTGCTTACATCCCATATCACTTAGATGTGAGAGGAAGCCAGACTGAAGGACATGCTACATTAACAGGGTGAAGGCCCTCAAATCAGGGGACATGCTAAATAGATGGTTAGATGGGATAGATAGATAGTTTTCACCTTCAAGATGTTAGCCAGCTCATCCATCATGCTCAGTTGGTTGTGGGCAGCAATGGGACTAGAAATGGAAATGAATCTGAGTTGCAGTGAATTTTGATGAAGGCCTAGTTCATGCAAGAAAGATTTTTTAAAAAAATCTTCAGCCCACAAATTTGCAGAGGAATGAAAAACTTTAGAGGCATTTATAGGGCAAGAATAAAGACCTAGTGTGACAGACTATGTCAAATCTTCAGACACTGGTCCTTTCGGGAGTAGAGACAGAATAGTAGATCACACTTTCCCAGCCTGCATGATCTGGGTCCTTGTTTTCAACCAAAG